AGACAACAACACAGAACAAAATGAATCGGTATGTGTACTTGTTAGACATCGTAAATGCGGGCATATTTTTCTGATTTGACGGTTTACGGATGTCTTGTCCAACTTCTGAGAGGGGAAGACTGACGAAGAACGATGCTATAATTATATTTCCTGCGCTTGAACCCAGAGGTCGTTTTTTTAAATTTTATAAGCAAATATCATCACCATTTTTTTTTTATATTAAACCAAGATCTTACTCAATCCTAAAGCTATTCGATATGTTCGCATACAACCAGCTGGAGTCTCTTTTCGAAACGATCTATCGTCTTGACCATGTCGGAAGCTTATGTCACTGGGATATGAGCACGTATATGGCTCCTAAAGGTCAGGAGTCTCGCGGGGAGGCCATTGCTATGTTGGAGAAACTCAAATTTCAGTACATTACTGCACCAGATGTGAAGAGGTGGATTGATGAATCCACTGCAGCACAAGATGAACTTTCTGCCGTTCAGAAAAGCAATCTTCGCAAAATGACTATTTTATGGAAGAGCATGAACTCACTATCGGAAGACTTCTTATCTCGTAAGGCGAAACTTACCACTATGGCCCATGAGGTATGGAGAAAAAGCCGGTCTGATAATAAATTCTCCGATTTCTTACCTGTATTAAAGGAACTTGTCTTGGTTGCCCGCGAAGAAGGGACATGTCTGGCGGCGGATTCTTCACAGACCCCGTATGAAGCCCTTATGAATGTTTATGAGCCGGGGGTGACGATCGGCCATCTGGATGATATTTTTGGGCAAGTTAAATCATGGTTGCCACAACTGCTACGGGATATTATAAAGAAACAGGAATCAGTAAAAGACCCCATTATTCCGTTCAAGGGATCCTTTCCCGTGGACAAGCAAACAGCACTCGGCAAGGATCTGATGCGTACCTGGAAGTTCGACTTTGATTCGGGGCGACTGGATAGTAGTCCGCACCCCTTTACCGGCATGACTAAGGAGGACTGCCGCATTACGACGTTTTACTCCGAAGATGATCCTTTGAAGTGCATCTACGCTGTCATTCACGAGGTGGGGCACGGCAAATACGAACAGAACATGGGGCCGCGTCAACTGATTACGCAACCCGTCTGCACAGCCCGCTCTTTGGGTGTGCACGAAAGCCAATCCCTCTTCGCTGAGTGCCAGCTCGCGCGTGAGCGGTCTTTTCTGGAGTTTCTGCAGACCAAACTGGCGGCCCACCTCGGCCCTCAGCCGGCTTTTAACCTGGAGAACCTCATCCGTGCCGTTCATAATGTGAAGCCGAACTTCATCCGTGCTGGCGGGGATGAGGTCTGCTACCCGTTGCACATCATCCTGCGCTATGAGATCGAACGTGACCTTGTGGATGGGACACTGCAGCCCGAGGAGGTGCCCACTGTGTGGAATGCAAAGATGAAGGAATATTTGGGGATTGAGACGACCGGCCGAGACGACCTGGGCTGCCTCCAGGACATTCATTGGTCGAAAGGCTATATTGGCTACTTCCCGACGTACTTGATTGGGGCGTTGCTCGCGGCGCAGCTCATGGCGACGATCCGTACGGAACTCGGCGAGGAGAAACTGCTTAAATGCCTCCAGACAGGCGACCTGGAGTGCATCTTGGCGAAGCAAAAAGAAAAGATTTGGGACCATGGCAGCCTCTACACGACCGATGAACTCGTAGAGAGGGCGACAGGGGAGAAGCTGAATCCAGAATACCTCCACAAACATCTTGTCTCTCGTTACCTTGAAGATATGAACTGAGATGACTACTTGTGTACACATGGATACTGCGATTTGCAATGGGCTTAGGTGCACATAAGTGTTTAAATAATATTTAAAATTCGTCTTTTGTTTTATTCTAGCATCTGAACATCGGTACACATTTAATTGATTTTTTAGTATAAATAAACATTTTAAGCCTTCCTCTTTATTTTAGATTCAGTGTTGTAGTTATTTAAAATTGGATCCATACTCTGAGTATAATGTTTTAATGGCACTTTTTTCTATGCGCTCCCTGCGTTCTGTTGTAGCGTGCAGCCATCCTTCATCTGGAGATCACACGCCGAGCACTTCGCTGGGGCACTGGCTGTTTTTTCTTTAGTTCTAATATAGTCGCAAAGTACTACTAACCAGAGAAACTAAATCCTACTTTTCGTGAAATAAATCCAGTGAGATTATCTTTAAAAAACGGTACGTGAGTAATATTTTATTTTTTTTATCTTTTTTTTTTAGGATTTGCACATTAGTACACA